TTCAGGCTAATTTGTAATTATTTCTCAGCTCATCTCCATTTGTCTGTGTTGAATGTCTGTGACCTGCATCACTCAGCTTCCTGAAGACAAGTCTTCCTCCCTCTGACTGACAGACAATAGATCTTTTGACTAACAGGAACACTGCGTGTGTTTAGATGACGGCAGTTTATCTCATCTTGAAATGAAAGTGAGAAATAAAGGAATAAATCAGTCGATGCGTTTATGCGCACTTATGTCACCTGGTGGCTGTTGGATTGCTGTGTTGACCTGATTTCCTAAATGTCCTGTAAGCAAGAAGGGATTAAGAGAATAATGATGACTGTGTTTGCTTGCACAAAATATTATGCTTTTTTTTTTTTTTTTTACTTCTGTTCCGAAAAAGACAGTATTCCTACAAAGCTGTTCACGTGGCTAATAAAGATAAATATTCCACTAATACTCCTGGTAACATGCAGTCGTGCATACTGCGATTAACGTTGTTATCATATCAAAATATGGAAACGTAGAACAGCTAGAGGTAATTGTGCTGTTTAGCTTCTTTGCATAATTTCTTTTTCTTTGCAACAACAGTTTTTCACCATTGTCGGACTCGTTTAACTGTGCAGACACAGTCTCCTTTCATCCCTTAAGCTACCTTATTGAAGAGGTTGGCGTGGCGATATTTGCACATATCAGAAACCTGCTGATAATCAAGCCTTTTACAATGTTTAAAAGTAGGCATGTTTCTCCTTTTGACCAGACATGTGGCTTGCCTTTTGGGCATGTATCTCTACACCAGCCTTGCAAACTGCTGGCTATATGATCTGTGTATAATGCAGCGTATAATGCAGTTAAGATGCATATTCTGAAAATGCTGTATACATGCCCAAAGAATGCCCCTAAAACCTGACTAATACTGCCATATCCCACAAGTCTTAGTTGGAAAATGTTATATTTGGAAAAAGGCCTAATACAAAATATCCAAAGAGATTATGCTATTTAAGTGACCCCTATAAAATTCTGAATATTTTCACATAAAGAATAATAGTGGAATATTAGTGTGCATGTAGTGGTAGTCCGTGAAACAGGCCTGACTTCTCAACAATGAGAGAACATGACATGTCAGCATGACAAACCCTACAGACCGGTAGTATCAACAAGACAGCAGTGCTGCGGCTTGAAAGGAAAGTTTATTACTCATAGTGGTACGTCCTTGAGCTCAAAATAATCAAACTGAAAGTCTGACTGAAATGGAAACCGAAGTAAATAAGTTTGTTTTAACCGTTTAGGTGCAGGATATTTGTAAAACTCTGTCAAGGAAACTGTTTGCTCTGCCACTACAGAGCCCGACCTCTCACTGCACCATCAATCTAAATGCTCTGACCTGGAAAGAAAACAATTCTTCAGGGTTCAAAATGATAAATCACTGATAGTCTTAAATATGCAGTCTTGGCTCCAGATATGCCCTTGGAGCAGCGTGCTCACCGAGCGGCTGCATGTAAACACAGGAGTTACAGTAATGTTGCTATGATGGAGCATGTAAACATGTTCTCCTCTTTCTTGCTTTAACCTGATTTCTCCCAGTAACCTGGTTTCCCGTGTGCATGTAAACGTAGCCTGCATGACGGCTGATAGTACATTTGCTGCTGCAGTGTTCCTGTAGAAGGTGACACAAGGTACAGGTGGCTTTCAGAGGGATAAGAGAACTGATGAATTCATGTCTGCGGATGGAATTCATGCACGAAGGCGGTATCTGAATCTGGGACAGTAGGTCTGTGTTTGAAACATGCTCAACTTTAACACAATTGGACAGATTTTAAAACACATTGTACGACCATTTCCTTTTTCTCCCTTGAACCTTAAACTACACTTAATCTGGGAGAGGGAGAGTCATGGAAAGAGGGATTGTGTAAGAGGCTCGGAGGAGTGGCCGGAGTCTGAGGTCAGTAGATCAGATCACGTGATCCAGCGAGCCAGGGTGGAGTAAGGCTAAGACTTTTCTTGGCAGACTAGAGACACTAAGGATTATGATACTTAAAGGGGAGATTTAGCTCTGACTAGAAAGAGCGTCTAGTAAAAGAGATGCTTATTATTGCACGTTGAATAGTTGGATGTTGTTTGAAATAATCAGGTTTGTCCTGTCATTATCCATGCTCAAAGATGTTGCCATGCTCGTACACTAGGTGTTTATTTTCTGCTTAGTCAAGGGAAATAAGCATAATGCTAATAATTAGGCACTGGTTTTACCTCATTGTTTAGACCAGAATGAGGTCATCTGTACTCTGTGGGAACTACGCAGTACGGCCCTCAGGCATTAACCTAATGACAGCCTTGAAAGCTGCACAGATTGGGCTCCTCACCTACTTCTCAGTCTTGTGCTTGCTCTTCGAACTGTCTCAGGGCTTGACATACCAAAGTTTTTAAGCACCAGGCAGTGCAGCAAGGTTATTCTTCCCCTCAGAGATTGGAGGGAAACACAGAAAGAAATGTTGAAGAACCAGTCAGCTGTGTGCCTATAGGACTGTGGTAGGTTGGCAACAGCATTGTCGTCTTCACTACCATCTCGGAGCTGCAGAGAACGCCAAGCTAAGCAGAGTGAAGTCATTCTGGACCAGATATAATGGGGAATTTTAGAGGTAGGCACGGATACACATTGCAATTTCTCTGTGCTTAATGGTGCTTTCAATAAGGCTTTCTTTCCTTTTTGTGTGTTGTTTTTTCTGTGGGTCTATTTCCTACAGTCTGCTTGGTGTGCACTTTCCTACAGTCAAGTTTAGACTGCTGAGAAATATTCATTTGGATTTTGGACAGATTACATACACAGATTATGGTCAAGGCGTAAAGAATGTTCTTCCTTTTTCTTTTTTTTAAAAAGTCATTATTTGATGGAGGGCACATTTTATGAAATAGTGAAGGGGTTACAGAGGGGTCAGGCTCGATAAGGCCCCAATTTATACTTAATCTATGGTGATTTACATGACAGTTACCCTAACTAGATTCCATAGCTGCACACCCCTCTTTGTCCTTCACGGAGAAGGTATTGAGAGAGAAAGCAGAAAGGATTTTTTTTTTTGGCCACCCCGACCAGATCTGCAACTTCTGTCAGCTTAAAATGTGCACTCAGTCAGGCCTGTTTGTGTTGTTCTCTGTGTTTGTGCAGAAGACAGGGGGAGGAGTTCTGTTGAAATTCAAACAGTTTTCCCCGTTTCCCCTCGCTGTGTTTTCTGGGAAATCAAGAGCCATGTCCTTGATTCAAAGGCTGCAGTAGTGGGAGGGGAGTCGGGGCGGTGTGTTGCAACACTATGAATGAGCAGGAAAGGAATTTGGGAGACTGACAGGGGAATACATGGAATATCCTGTGTGGACTAACTTACTTAGGAGTAGTAAAACCTTATCTGTCATTTAACACCAGGGCTGGCACATGATGCGGCGCTTCAGCTCAGACACCTTGAAATGCTTACGCTGCCTAGGTGACAGACTCCCAGAATACCTCAGGGTCACATTTCGTCCAAATGTCTGGGGGACCTCCCACATACTTCATGTACAACCCTCTCTAATGGCCAAAAACTTTTATGTTCTCACTGTGAACAACCCGACCAGCTCACACAAACTGGCTGTCAGCCTGAGCTAAGTGATTCCTTACCCGAGTGTGTGTGTGTGTGTGTGTGCATGCAAATTCAAGTTCTGCTTTTACATGACAGAAAATGACCCTTTAACCCTTTAAAATGATGTCTGTCAGCACAAAATTGACTAATTTAGTTAAAGCTACTGTATATCAAATCTTCCAGTCACCCTGAGGCTGCCATTATGGACTAAGAGTACGATAATAGACACTTTTATGGAGGTAGAGTTCAGTTGCTAGCGGCAGGGCTATTTGTAAATTACCATATGGTTATTTAATGGTGGTTTTAGCAGCTAATATTCCTCTGCATATTCACATGTAATGACGGCATCTCACCACACCATGCATCACCTCGACTGCATTCTGAGTGGTTCAGCAAAGTACAGCATGTAGGTCAAGATATATGTGTGGAAACCAAAGGGTGGAATATGTCTTTATGTTTGTATCTTGGAGATGACAGCAGCAGTGGATTTCTAAGGCAGTAAAAGTCACAGTAAAATCCCCGTTTCCCTAAAGTCACATACCTCCTGTGTTATTAGACCCCTTGCTTTTGTCTAGTGCTGCAGCCCTGAGCTATGAGGCAGCCATCGCAGCCTTTAGCTGCCCCGTCTGGCTCAACAGGCTCCTTCTAGTAAATATGGATCCACCTTGAGCAGCGTTCCCCTGACACTCTCCCTGTCAACAGATATAATGAGACCATAACTATTCGTTCTACTTTCTCATTTCAATCCGGGACAAGAGGCCAGAGAGGGAGCGAAGGAGACAGGAACACCTTATCTCTTCCGTCGTGCTGCTGACTTGTTTTTTATTTTATTTTGTTTTTTTCAAAGGCCTGTCCTCGTTCATCTTCTTCTACCCCTCCAGTGCATCTTACACACAAACATGTATAGCACTCACCTGTGTGCACACATGCTTGATATTTTCGGGAAGCTATTACATTGCTGTGATTTGGATTTCCATTGTTTTATGGCTTCATGACAAACAGTGGCCACCGCTGTGTTTGTGTTGTATTTTTTCATGTGACTGTATTACATACACAGATCATCTTTTAACTCATGTGTTGTCTCAGGGCCATATGGCATTGATTTGCACTGTCACAGACGTGAAACATTGACAGTCTTTTTCTCTTTGGGCCATATGGCATGTGTGGGTGTGTGTTTGTGTATTGCTGGTGATGGCGTGTGACCATTGATAGTCACTTCTCAGCATCACTCGCCTGTGTGTATCAGGGAGTGGTTGACTCAAGTGTGTATCTATGAGTGGAGTGTGTTTGCACACACATGCACACGGTCTGGTATGTGTGTACAAGATTGTTGTTTTTTTTTCCCTAAAGAGTGCCTGTGGTGACCAGATCATGTTGTGTGTGTGTGTGTGTGTGTGTATGTGTATGTCTACACAGGAGGAATGCCAGCTCCTGAGCAGAGCCCAGTGACGGAGGAGGGGCTTCTGCTGACCAACCGCGACCGTTCAACTGGCCGCAATATGGAGACTGACAACACCGCCAACAACATCCTGGCCTCCGTCAAAGAACAGGTAGTGTGTTTCTTCCGTTCATACTAGGGCTGTAGTCAATCAGGGAAGAACTTGGTCGACTGAAATTCTACCTACTCTTGAAACAATTTATTGGTCGATGGAGGAAAAAAATCTGCTTGTTATCTCTGGATGAACTGAAATGCCCACAGTGCACTGAGTGTACTCTATCTGGTAGCGTTGTGTGTCCACAAAAGCGTTTACAGGAACATTTACTCTGGGCAAGTAGCCTACGCTCTGTGTTGGGGAAACTGGAATGCTTGATGCAGTTGTTTGACATGAAAACTGAAAAAAATGTGATTTCTAAGGTAACATTATCTGAAAATAAACTTCGCAGTGTATCAGTGAAGCAGATTATTTGCATGCGCGAGTCTGTGTCGCCACCAAGCATTGGACAGGATGGATGAGAAAAGTCTGACATACTAGGCACTTTGGTAGTTGACTACGGAGTTGACGATGTCATAAACAATATGATGTTACAAACATTAAATATCTCTGGAATTCTGCATATGAGGAACATACTTTTTTTTGCCCAGAAGCTAACGTTACCTGTCCTGCTGTTCCAACGAAGGCCCAGGCCCAGAAGCTTTGTAATTCAAGGGTGTGTTCAGATCTAGAGTTCGCTTGCTGTGGTCTGAATCAGGGACTAATTTTGTTACCTGGTTGCATAACTGCCTAGAGTTGGTTCGTGCTCTCGTGGCAGCATTTACAAGCTGACCAGATAAAATGCCTTGCCTGAAAAAGATGCTCTTGATTGGTCAGAATTTCTGTGCAGGAAAAATCCAGGAAGTTAACAAAACACTGAAGAAGAGTACACTTGCAAGATAAATGCAACACTTTCCAGTGTCACAATGGAGGGACAACCACGCGAGCTAATTTTAGTGCTGGTCATCGTGTGTTATATTGCTTGCATTGTTCAAGGCGCATTTTAATAATCCTCTAGGACTATTGCTCATGTTTAACCCAAACAATGCATAATGCGACTGCAGTTGGTTCGGGTTGAGGTCAGTACACATTCTCACCACAAACGAATCGCACCAGAGTTTGTTTGAAACCTGGCCGAGACCACCTCTTTAAGAAGGTCTCGGCCAGGTTGTTTTGGTGTGCACCGGAGTGCGATTGCTGTGTTCACACCTAACCAAATCAACCGCACTTAGGCGGCAAACAAACTTGAGTTCGATTGAACCGAACCAAACAGGACATGTGTCTTTTTTGGAGATTTTGTAAAAGAATGAATGCCTTTGTCATTATTCATGCACTTTCCTGTGTTGCAAAATGGGAGGTGGAAATTGTCCAAATGGATAAAACGCCGCACTCGTCACTGTTACTTTTACCCAACCATCCAATCACAGTGGAGGAGGGGTGGGCCATAGACCAACTGTCACATACATGTACAAGTGCTGAACAACAACGACTGCCGTTTTCAGCTGGTAAAAAAAGCTTTTGTGGACATACAGTCCAATGAAAGTGACATCAGTGATTGTCCAAACAATGAGAATTTGGTTGGACTGGATGGTTGCAGCCCTAGTTCATACCACACTAAGGACCCACTGATTCACGTCACATCTCTCATATTGCAGCTACTATTTAAGCTTTAATAAACCATTTACTTTGTACACTGACATTTATAGAACACTATTTTGTCTGGTGACTCACACATTGTACAAGGAAGAAATCCACTGGGTGAGGTATATAGACAGTTTTTTCCTGCGCACTTGTGTCACACACCCTGTTGTCACTGCAATCATACACCTTACCTCCCTGACACAGAGTCCAAAGTAGAAAGTTGTCATCTCTCGGCGTGTGGCTTCATGGAAAGATTTCTGTTTAAATCACAACTGTGGTCGAGGTGGACTTTGTTTACTTTCTTGGTCTTGAAGTGGAATAAGTTTGACTGGGATGTATTGGTTGTTTATTGCCTGCTGTCATGGCCTGGCTTGCATCAATGGACAACCAGGAAGATCATCTCTGGCAGGGTTAGTGAGCCTGTGGAGGGACATACCCTCTGACTCACTCCATCTTTGCCTGTCTCTCTGTGATTCGTCCACACTGCCTTCTGTTACACACACACACACGCACACTTTCCTTTCCACTCTGCCCTCCATATTCTTGGGAATCCAGCACAGGGCAAACTGGGCTAAAGAGATTCTGCTCATTGTTAATGATGTTAATTCCCCTCTGTGACGTCTCTCATACCTCTTTTTCCCTGAATGACACTTTAGTTGGGCTACAGTTTGATAATAAACGCCACATTCATTTCAAATAGCCCACAGGCGTCCCATTTAGGCTTGCTGCAGGAAAGTGGGTATTGTTTACACGAGTAAGGAAAGAAAGAAGGAGGGAGCACCTGTCGATGTCACTTCCTTCCCTAGAGTATTCCTCAGTGGCTCGTCCGGTTAGAGCAGATATCCGTGCAGGCAGGCAGGCAGGAAGAGCGAGTAGCCTGCCTGAGCTGTTTCTTTCAGAGTGACTAGCTGGAGACATGCCTCAGAGGGAATTCCTGCTAAAGAGTCGAGACTGTAAAATGATCGTTCTCCTCAGTATTTAACAGAGTTGGAGAGGCAAATCAGAGGGTGAGTGAGAGTGAAAAGATGGAGGAGGTCAGAGACTAGGCTCGTGTGAGTGTGTTCTCTCCCCTCTCTATGCTTTTGTGTGAGGTTTTCCTGTGATTGTTAAGAGGCAGACCTTCGAGGGATCCCGCTGTCGATGTAAACATGCAAGGCTGCTGTGCTGTAGCTGTGGTCGCGGTTAGGGCTGGGGCTTAGCATGACTGGGTGTTTGGTAAGTGTTTACTCTTTGGCTCTACTATCTTTAGTTTTTTGTCTTTTTCCCTGTCTTCTCATTGGCCGATTTCTCCCCTTTCACTCGTCTTTCTGACTCCTTGTCTTCCTTCGTTTTTCTTTGTCTCTCTTTCCAAACTTCTTTTCCTGTCACTACTGTAGTTACAGCTGCACAGGCTTTGCTGAGATGCCCAAACAAGGACAGATTCACCAACATATTGTGATTGCATTCTCCTTGTGCGTTCATTTGCTTGGACTTGTGTCTTCCCTCTGTTTCTCCCGCTGGCTGCTAACAAACCCCGGTCTTTTTGCCATTAATTTGAGGATTTGGTCCTGTCGTGCTGCAGTTATTGGTTATTAGAGTCCTGTCTGTACTCTGTGCCTCTTTAATAGCACTGATCCACCATCAGGACGACACATCCATAATGGTTTATTACAAACCCCAATTAAGTGCTTAAATGTCAATGTTTTTCTTGCTGCACTGCACAACTCGCTTTGAAGACCTGCACGTGGTATTTTTTAGGGCTGACTCAACCACAAAATCTGAAACTGTGCTGTAATTCAGAATTAACTTTACAAATGTCCCCTCTTTCCAGTATTTATTATCTTATTAAAATTTAATTTAACCGAAGGGGTTGTTTTGAGGATTATCTAAGACCTAGTTTTTTTTATCTGTTTCATCTGAAGTGTAATTGAAGCAGTGGGAGGCTGTAGCACTCAGACAGGCTTTTATGTGGATTCAGCAACTGTGATGTCCTTGTGTGTTGTGTCAATGTATTTTACTATTTTCTATTTTATTAACCCATAAACCAATGATTTCTTTGATATGTATTGCAATATTAAAACAAAACAAAACAAAAAAATAGAGGGACAATTAAAACTCAGTAGTTCTGTGAGAATGAGATGAGAATCTTCCCGCAAAATTCCATTAGCAGCACATACATTACAGTTTTATTGTTTATTACTGTTTCTGTTGTTATTTTCTCATTAAATTGAAGAACTATGGCAGTGCAATCATCAGTTTTCTTTATAAGTGTTTTCTGTGACTGCCTGTAAAAACTGAAAATGATGAGCTGTATGTCTTTTCGATGTGATTATTCATGGAAAGTATAATTGATTTAATGGCGACTGACATGTATGTAGGATACCACTTCACTGGATGTCAGATGCCTCAATATAGAGACATGACAACAGTATGTTAACACACTTAATGTGACAGCCTTTTTTTTCTCAGCTTTTTTTTCTTCATCACTGACTGAAAACGTGTGCCTGAAATCTGGTTTCCTTATGCTTTCTCGACTCGAGAAGGTCAGAGTGATGAATTAATATTATTACTTATATATTCTTGAAGGTGTTCTAGCACAGTAACATGAACAAACTTCATCAACGTTTTGAAAACTCTGTTGTCCAGAAATGATTGCGAGGGAATTTTAGTTAGAAACTAGGGCTGTACAGTTTATTGCTTTTTATCCTCATAGCGGTATCAGTAATTTGAAACAGAATATCTGTAGAAATCTGCAATTAAACATTTTACCTTCCTTTTTTGGTGCCCCTTGTGTTCAGTTCAGTGTTAAATTTGTTCAATAAAAGAATGTTGGAAATAATTTCTCTTCATTTTTTAAATTCAGCAAGCAATCTGTTGTATTTTAGAGGTATACTACAGCAAAAGGCTGCACTGAGTACACTTTAATACCTGTTAATCTGTCATATGCAATTTAATTATCGCGATATTCAACAATGTTATGGTATATCGCGTATTTTCCTTATGTCATGCAGCCCTATTATAAACAAAGTGAGCTGTTAAAGGTTTGTTTATTTGTAATATTTTGATGCACTGGAGGAATGGTGTCTCATGCCTCACATTAATTCCAAGAAACTTGTAATATTTATGCTGAGGAGCACTGAATGTTTTCTGGAGGCTGATGGTAGCGCATCACCTTACGTAGACACTAGGGGCAATAATACGATATTTGCTGATATCACAAAATCTGCCATAAAGTATTTTGATTCAATTAAATTCAGAGGCCTGCGAGATGATATCAGTAAATATCCTCATTATGTTTGTCTTGGCTGCTTACCATTGTCTGCTTGGCACTAGGCCGCCAGCACTGTTTGATGTGTAGGAAGGAGATGCGGACAGAAATGGTGACACAGGCGTTCTTAGGGAATTTCAAAATAAAGGCGTATCCTGAAGATGATGATATGTAGCCCATTGATGTTGTT